TTTTATAATATTTTACATTTATGTAGATAGTTATTTATTCAATTTGACAATCGATTCGATATCGATTCAACCCCGATTCGATATTTTGACCATTGACCCTCTCTCTTTTCCGGGTTGATTCTTAAAATATTGGTTGAAATAAACATTTTTTTTAATTTTTCAATTCTTAAACAAATTTAATAATTATAAATTGTTCAACTTTTTTATATTTTGAATTTGATTACTTTTTTTATTTTAAATTTTTTTTATTTTCTCATTTATTTATTTTAGTGACAAATAATATACCATAAAAATATTTTAACGACTCAATTATTTATAACAAATCGGATCGGATTAACATATATCCATATTTGATCCATTTAGTTAACGGATTATCAGATTCGGATCTTGATCGGGTTATCGGATTGAGACTTTAAATCCATTTCCCATTAATTTCGTCGAATTCGGATCAAAATCCAATCCATTGATAGCCCTATAGCTACCAAGAAGTTGGAGACTTGATTGGGATCTTTGGAAGTGTTAATTAGACGAATACACTAGTTTTGGGATCAAATTTGACATTTGGAGAGCTTGGGATCAAAAGTGGACAAAATGATAACTTTGGGAATCAACTTGATCATCCTTGAAACTTGGAGGACCACAATTTTAGAAAATGAAACTGAAGGGAACAAAGTAAATGAATTTGGAAGATGAATGATCAATTTGGACACAATTGAAAGTTTGAGGACCTAATTGGTGAAATCCGAAGTTGAGGGACTGAAATTTACAAAACTATGAGACTGAGGACCAAAGTGCACATAATTGAAAGTCGAGGACCGATCGCATCAATGCTTGCTTCAACCGCAGTTGGAGCAAGTTGGAGAGAATATCTGCCAGTTTTCCTCAAGCCGACTGCAGCTATGCGCCTATGCTTGATGCAGTCGTAGCTTCATCGAGATTCCAAGTTTTAGTCCAAATTTGAGGGAATATTGGATATATCCTTCGCACGACTTTCAATGCACATTATGCAAGGCGGATATGAGAATTTTGAAAGCGTAAATAAGTAAAATACATATTTAAATTTTAAACGAAAATTTTGTACAATCCAAAAAATAAAGTAGTAAAATAAATTATCTATAACAACTCG